CGAACTGGGCAATGGCCCAGCTTAAGTAGCGCTGGGCCAGGACTGAAAGCCCACGGCCTTCGACCTGGACCGTTCAGATCCACGGTTCAGATCGCAGGCCCAACGTGTGGTTCAGCCCTTGGCCTAAAACGGCCTGCCTGGGTCCCTACGGGACATCCAGGCCCTGTCCAGGATTCAACTTCCTGGTACCTGGCTTCAAACCGGTCCTGTGCGGATGTACCCGGCCTCAACGTCGGCCTGGGTCCGAACAGGTCAAAATCTGTTCGAAAACAAAAGAAAAGGTCCAAACGTTTTTAGAGGCTCAGCCTCTGGGCCTGAATCTGGCCCTGGCCCTAAAACGTGTACCTGGCCACAAAACGGACAACAGTGCACACGTTAGAAAAACAGCAGCAAATAAATAAATAAAAGACTATAAAAATAATCTAAAGCTGGCGTTTTTCTGATGCAGGCCCAAGTAAAAATGCCATAGGGCCTTCAGGTTGCGGTGACGCGACCTGGGGGCCCTATTCCAACCTCGGGTCCCGTGAGGGGCCCGTGTGTACGCTTTCAGCATGTAACAGAAGAGCAGGACAGGGACGTGAGATGGCACTGAGGGAGGGCCAGACAAAAGAGATGGAGGAACGGAGGGAGGATGGAGGAAGCACAGAGGGAAGGAAGAGAGAAAAGGAATGAATCAGATGACAGAAAGGAAAATGAATGCAGGAGGGAGTGCAGGAGGGAGTGCAGGAGGAAAGGAAGGAAAGACGGAGCAACAGATATGGTGGAAGCAGCATGGTCAGGCACTCAGGTAGTGGAGAAAACTTCACCCCTGTTGTGTACACTCCAAGTATGAATCCTCTTTACACGAAAAGGAATCCGTTCCACCCTCCGCCCCCCGACCCCCTGCTCCACTCCCCCTCCACCAGACTGATGGACAAAAACAAAAAGAGAAAAAAAAGAAATGAAGACAAAGGGGTTAGGAAAATCTGAGCTGCCTGCCATGACCTTTCCTTTTCACTTAAAAAAAAAAAGGACCTTACAGCCCTGCCTCCATATCCATTCTGGGGAGCATCAGTCCGGTTCCTATTCCGCCAGCAAGTCAGAAATACAACAAGAACACCCTCACGCTTCCTTCCGTATGGCGGAAGGACCCTCGAGCAGCATTGATTACTCCAGATGTCTGGAGGACTGACTGTCAGCTTGCCTTCCCTCTACCTCTCCTCTCAGCTTGCTTTCCCAAACCTGCAGAAGCGACAACGGGACGTGGAAGCCAGAGATCCTTGAATTGTCTGGGTTGTCCTGTCCAGCCGGAAGTCTGATCTTGTAGGAAGTTGCTATAGCTTTGACGCTCTCCTCGTCTCTATCATTCGGTCAAAATTAGGTGGCCTGTATCGGGTCCTGTAGATCCCCTGATTGGGACCTCTTGCCTTCTAACCCACACTCGAGTTGTGCCAGTGTTTCCACAGTAGGCAGGAGCCATTTACGTCCGCTACCTTACCTCGCACCAGCCATACCCTTGCAAAATTAGCTCTGATTTTCTGCTGCAGATCCGGATCATACGGCATGGAAGGCTCGGTTATCTGCCATCTGCAGAGAAAAGCCAAACAAATTGCTTCAGCTCCTAGAACCGAAGATTGTGTTGGTTGTAAACGATGTGAATCTGCGTGTCCAACAGACTTCTCAGCCAGCCAGAAGTCTGATCTTGTAGGAAGTTGCTATAGCTTTGACGCGATCCTCGTCTCTGTCATTCGGTCAAAATTAGGTGGCGTGCATCGGGTCCTGTAGATCTGCTGAAGGGGACCTCTGCCTTCTGAGCCCCACTTCTGAGTTCTGCCAGTGTTGCCACAGTAGGCAGGAGCCATTTACGTCCGCTACCTCGCCTCCCACCAGCCATACCCTTGCAAAATTAGCTCTGATTTTCTGCTGCAGATCTGGATCTTCCAGCGTGGAAGGCTTGGTTATCTGCCATCTGCCGAGAATCTCCGCCTGAATCAGCGACCTTGTAGTCGCCCATGCACTGTCTCTTGGACTGGATAAGACCCTCAAGAGTTCTGCTGCACCTTGCCTTCCATATGGAGCAAAGTGTGACCTTTCTGATAATTTTTCCACGGCATTTGTGATATCTGATTGGAACCATCTGTTCCCAAATATGGGACCAGGATCCTTAGAATTAAGCAGTAAGTTGTATCCTAGTTCAACTGTGTATTCATGAATATGGACGGCCGTCTTAATGCCGTTGCGTCTGGCCTCTCAACAACAAAAGAGTTGGCAAAAACACCAAATTCGGAGAAAATTTTGGCGAACTCCGAAAGCTAATCCAAATAGGGTTTTATAGTGCTTTTTTGAGTTTGTCTTTTTTTCGTTTTCTTTTGCCTGTTTGGGTTTTTTATGTTTTTAATTTATGAGCCTGCATTGTTTGTTTGCGAAATATTCGATGACATTGCTTGTGGTGATGCGGCGAAAAACCCTGAATTTTGGGCCTTCCATTAACCATCTCACTTGCTTATGGGAGAATTGGAACGCCCTTTTGGGTGTGGTTTCCTGGACCAGCACTCACCAGTCCCCTGATTTCCACGTAAGGACTTCTCTCAATGACTGCTTCCAACCTTCTAGGATGCAGTTGACGATAATTTGCAAGTTCTCATCTTGACGGTGGCATCCGTTGAGGCGGGACCCAAGCTCCTGTCCTGAGATCCAATCCTTTTTCTCGTCATCCCAGATATGGCTCACTTTCCTAACTCCATGATTGATCCATGATAACCATCTCCTTCCCCGTGGTCTCAAAGAGATTGGGTGATAATTTTTGTCTCTCACCCAAGGATTCCCAAAGAGGGGTTGTCTCAAGACTTCATCTTTGGACCTGGGTCCGCCCACTTTATTTCGCATAGTCTCACACCGTATTCTCAGCAAACGTGGTCCAGTAGGGCACAGGGAGCCTGGCTTCGTTTGAGACAACTCCTCTTCGTTGGTTTCTACGGCTTGTATTTGGGTCCATACTTTGGCGTGGCTGTAGGGGCCAAGCACCGGATACTGTCCAACGCCATTTTATTCCATGACAAACCCGTTTCGGTAAGGAGCTTAACAATCCACTTAAACCACGACTAACTCCATGTTCTTAGGCCGGTAACACGGTGACTGCACCGGCCTGCCACGCGGGGTCATATTCATTTGAGTCAGAGGGGGGTTAAGAACGCGGTAGGTACTGGTGGTTTAACGGATGGCTGATAGCTCAATGGATAGAGCATCGGTCACAAATGCACATTGTGGTAGTAGGTTGCGGGTTTGAAACTCGGCCGCCTTGTGCATATGGCGCTGGTGGGCATTGACCAACGCACAGCCATTCGCACACTAAGTGAGCATGCGGCCAGAGGCTCTAACTGTGAAATAGTAAAAGCAGTAGTAGTTTGTACACGTAAAGGAATCAAAAGGCAAAGTGGTACAACAATTCGGTTCAATGATAATGCAGCAGTAATTATTAATCAAGATGGAAAGCCAAGAGGAACACGTGCTTTTGGACCATACACAATATCCTATTAACATAAAATTTCCTTTATGTTAGTAGGATATAGATTCTATAATTCTATTCAATTCATAGATATTTAAAATAATTTGATATTGATATTTAAAATACTAGAATACATACCATGGATGCCAACCGGACATCCGGATCCTGATGTAGACAGTCCGGTGTCCGGTGTTCGGGTTCGGTGTCTGGTTTGGAGGGTTCGGTTGGACCCTGATTTGAAGAAATTC